TTGGGTGAGTATTAAAACGTAAATTAAAAAAATTAAAACCTACAGAATGGGAGAAAATATTTGCAAATTATACATCTGGTAAGAAACTTGTATCCAAAATATAGAGAGAGCTCTTCAATTTAACAATAAATAGAAAACCCAGATTAAAATTTGGCAAGTAATTTGAATAGACATTTCTTTTTTCTTTTTTTAAAAAAAATATATTTCATTGATTTTTTTCACAGAGAGGGATAGAGAGTTAGAAACATAGATGAGAGAGAATCATTGATCAGCTGCCTCTTGCACACCCCCTACTGGGGATGTGCCCGCAACCCAGGTACATGCCCTTGACCGGAATCGAACCTGGGACCTTTCAGTCCGCAGGCCGATGACAATCAGGGGTCCTCAAACTTTTTAAAGTGGGGGCCAGATCACGGTCCCTCAGAGAGCTGGAGGGCCAGACTATATGAACTACTAATTCCTACTGTAACACCTCGGCTGCGCTCACTGCCCAAAAAACCTGGCAGGCCGGATCAGACTCCTCTGCGGGCCGCATGTGGCCCGCGGGCCGTAGTTTGAAGACGCCTATGCCAAACTGGTTTCAGCTGAATAGACATTTCTAATAGACAAACAGTCAAGAAGCACATAGGAAAATACTCAAAATTAGTACTCATTAGAGAAATGCAAATAAAACCCACAGTGAGATATCACTTGACACTCACTGGAATGGCTATAATGATGATTTTTTTTATTTTTTTAAATATATTTTATTGATTTTTTTTTTTTTTTTTTTTTTTTTTTTTTTTTTTTTACAGAGGGGAAGGGAGAGGGCTAGAGGGCTAGAAACATCGATGAGAGAGAAACATCGACCAGCTGCCTCTTGCACACCCCCTACCGGGGATGTGCCCGCAACCAATGTACTTGCCCTTGACCGGAATCGAACCTGGCAGACGCTCTATCCGCTGAGCCAAACCAGTTTCAGCAATAATAATTTTTTTTATAAAGCAATAACAAGTATCGACAAGAAGGTAGAGAAATTAGGAACCTCATACCTTGTTGGCAGAAAACAGAGTAGCAGTTCCTCAATATATTAAGCATATAGTTATCATCTGACACATTGATTCTCTCTGTATAAAGAAATACCCATCAATCAATGGCTGGATAAACAAAATGTGGTATATTTATACAATTGAATATTGTTTGACAATAAAAAGGAATGAAGTACAAATACATGATGCAATATAGGTAAAAACATTATGCTGAGTGAAAGAAGACAGTCTTGTATGATTCCCTTTATAGGGAATGAGCAAAATAGGCTAATCAATAGACATAGAAGGCAGATTAATAATTGGCAAGTGCTGTAAAACTTGGAGAATGGAGACTAATTGCTTATGAGTTCTAGGTTTCTTTTTGGGGGTAATGAAAATGTTCAGAAATTAGATACTGGTGATAGTCATACACCTCCATAAATATATAAAAGCCACTGAATTGTATGCTTTAAAAAGAAAAATTTTATGTTACATTAATTATATCTTAATAAATCTGTATTTAAAAAACACACAAAACAATTACACAAGGAATTTTGATGGTAAATGCCAAAAAGAGGGATTTTAGATGATAGAAACATTATTTCTAGGTTGGGTGGTAGGTTGAATGTTTATGAAAGAAGTGTGTTTGAGTTGAATGGCTTTTAGGGAAGATGAAGATTTGGATATGTAGTTATTTCTGAAAGAAAGAGTCCCAGAATTTAGCATGAGATAAGGTGGGAATGTCTTTGAAATGGAAGTTGTATTTCAGCTTAGCATTTATATGGGACCTGTGAAAAATTTAATCCAAGACATAATTAGAGGGCTGGTTGGGCCTAGATTAGGGGGAATCTTAAATGCCAAAATAAGGAATTCTCTGCTGAATTTGATTAGCTCCAGGAAGTTGCTTAAAAATGACACACCTTCCCAGCCTGTGTGGCTCAGTGGTTGAGCATTGACCCATGAACCAAAAGTTCCTCGGTTCTATTCCAGGTCAGGGCACATGCCTGGGTTATGTAATGGGCTCTATCCCCAGTAGGGGGCATGGAAGAGGCAGCCCATCTCTCTCTCTCTCATCTATTTCTCTATCTCTGTCCCTCCCTCTCTAAAATCATAAAAACATATATAGTGGAACCTCGTTTCTCAAATATCTCCCTCTAACAATTCATTTAACCTGACAACCCTTTCATGCTGATATCTGTATGATCAATCACGCATCTCTCAGGTGACAAAGGAGAGAATGAGTGAATGAGTCAGTTTACCACAGTTAAAATCTCAGGAAATTGTACTGTGAATATTTTCATGTCTCTTGGCTTTTGTTGCTGCTTATAGTTATTATTAAATTTTCATTTTTTACTGTATATTTTCTTTCTTTTTTGTTAAATTTTCATTTACATTTCATATCCTTTTTGTTTTTAAAGTGTTTATAGATTAAACAGTACAATAGACATGTGCTATATATAAGAAAGGTTAAAAAGGAATCTTTTGGGGGTCTAGAAATGATTAATTCAATTTACATAATTTCTAATAGGAAAAAATGATTCATTTTTCGAATAGCTTTCCAGAACGGTTTAAAGTAGAGAAGTGAGGTTCCATTGTATTTTAAGAATTTGACACACCTCAGAGCTTTATATTAGAAAAATTAATCAGCAGCAGAGTGTTGCATTGAATGGAAAGGAGAGAGCTCACCTGTGAAGATACCTGTTAGGAGTCCGTTGACATTGGTTTGAGAAGAAGGCTATCCTCTTTTAAATTACCTAAAATTGGAAATACTTTGATTAACATTCTAGACCTTCTGATACCCACTTGGTGAATTTTAAAAGCCTCACATGCACATGTTACTCTACTTCATTTCCTGGGAAAATGAATCACAATTTCCTAGTAAAGAGCTTTCTGGCGTATTAAACAATTGCTTGGCCTACCCATTCAATTCAGCTCCTTTTTCTTCTTTGGCTCACCAGCTGTGTTATTGTTTTTATTTTCTTTCCTTCCTCCCTTTCCTTTTTCTCTCTTCCTTTTGTTCCTGAGTCTTCTGTCTCCCTTTCCTTTAGCTTTCCCTCCCCACCTCCAATCATGAGACAATTTAGAGAAAATTACCAGTATTATTTTTTATATAACATAAAGAAAGCTTATATTGGCTGTATAAAGACAAGAGAATGAAGAAATCTTTCCATAACACCATATAGATGGTGTCAAGGAACATATTTATGGAAAATATGCTACTATTAATGAAAATTTTTTCCAGATAAATTTTGTATTAAATGAAAATTTTTTTCAAGCCTTTAACTTCAGATTTCATGAGGATCTCAGCATTCCCATTTGTGTCTTGCCATTAAAGTTTTCTCTGCAAGTTTTATGTCTTCTGCTTTGATGTCCTGAATAGCAAACTTAAAACCCTAACTGTGCTTCAAGTACTGCATTGTAAGTGGCTACCACATCCCTGAGACATAGGGAACTAAAAGATTGTCAACATTTCAGAGGTTCAAGATGAGGTTATCTAAATTTTCCCAACTATATGAATAATCATTTCTACCAAACACTTTTGTTCTTGGATTACATTGATAAGGACATTTAAAGGATGGCTACAGGCATTTTTTTCAAGGTTAGATTTTCCAGTATGGACGTGAAGTTAGACTGTTTGCTGCAGTGGGTATACAGATAGTTATCCAAACTCAGAAGGAAGCCTGTCTCTTTAAAGAGTTAGTCAGCCTCTGTTTGTTTTTGTTTTGCAGGGAGTGTTGGTAGGGTGGCTAAAGACAACACTGGTGTATGGGTTGGTTCTTTTACGCTTACAAGTTAAGTTTGTGTTGAATATTGAAGACCAATATTGAAGACTAATGCTGTGATATCCTGAGAGAAGGGGAAAGAGGCAAGGAGGGGTAGAAAGTAGGAGGATAGGGGCTCAGGCCCTGGCCAGGTTTGGAGTCAGGGAAGGCAACTTTGTTTCCTTTAACTGAATTTATTGGGGTTACTTTGGTTCACAAAACCATATGGGTTTCAGGTGTGTAATTCAGAACATCATCTGCATTCTGCATCGTGTGGCCATCACCCAAGCAAAGTCTCTTTTCATCCCCATCCCCTCAATTTGCTCACCTCTACCTATCCCCCACCTACTTTCCAGGAGTGCTACTTTTGAATCTTAGCTCTGTCACTTTGTTTTCTTGACCTACCTTGCGTCACCTTTCTGAGTTTGAGTTTTATCAACATAAGATGAGGTAGTTGGGAAGATCTGAGTCCTGTGGAGATTTTGGAGAGTTTGCCACGCATATTTAGTGATAACATTTTAATGATATATACAGTAGTTTAAAACTCTCCATTTTGTGTAAGTATAGTTCTAGAAGTATGATGTTCTGAATAAATTATGTAAACTTTGGTTTGTGAAACCTGGTTGTGGCTGATCCTCAGTAAATGGAAATCAGTTGTAGTCCAGAAGTTTATGCTCAAGGTGGCGCTGTTTCCCCATACATTTGGTGATATTTTGCATTATATCCCTATGTGTTCTAAGCCAAGCAAATAACAGTATATATTGTATATTTAGGACTGTGTTTGTCTTCTATAGTCCGCAGGCCTTCGTACCTTGTGGGACCCCACCCAATATCACATCCTAGAAATACTTCATATTTACTATGACTTACATATGAGAGTTGTCATAATAAGTTAGTTGATCTGTTATATTTTTAAAGACATTTATTAAAATGGAACGTTAGACTTTACAGCTTTCTTTTTGTATTTTTGAGTCAATTATGTTTTTAAGTCTAAACTGTGAAAAGCTTATAGGCCCTGGTTCCTAATGGAATAAAGGCCCTAAAGTTCTTCCTCATACTGATTATATATAGTGCAAGGGAAGATACTCATGATGAACTTTATTTAAGCTAGTAATCTATGTCAGGACCATCATATGGATTGTTTCCAGCTTGTTTGAAACGACACATGTATTTTACAGGTGTGGTCATTCCGAGCTTGATATGAATGTTTTTTTTGTTTGTTTGTTTTTAGATCCGGGGATTTCTGTCAAGATTTGATAATGTCCTTCCTGTCAGCCTGGCATTTGACAAATGTACAGCTTGTTCTTCCAAAGTAAGTCGTTCAACAATTAAAGGACTTGTCTTTTAAAATAAGCCCATCAGCCTTACCAATCAGAGGCATTCTAACCAACTGAGGACTTTCTGGGGGAGAGGTGAGAGTCTAAAAAAACCAGAAAGGAGTTTTCATTTATCTGTTTTCATTCTCATAGTAACCAAACTGAGACGATTTGACTTATAGAGTATGTGCACAGAGAGAGGTGGAATCATCTATTTTAGTTCTGTGTCAGTGCTTGCATCTGGTAATTTTGGCTTGAACTTGATCTCTACTAGTCTTTGTTCTCCCCCAGAGAGTTCCTCCCTCCCATTGACCATCATAGAGCAACTTTTTTTTTTAATTGAATTTGCTGGGGTGATATTGGTTCACAAAACCATATAGGTTTCAAGACCATATAGGTTTCAAGTGTACAACTCAATAAAACATCATCTGCATACTGCACCATGCACCATTGCCCCAAGCAAAGCCTTTTCTGTCCCCATCCCACCTCCACCTACCCCCACCCCACTTTCCCTCTGGCTGTCATCACACTGTTGTCTGTGCCTGTGTGTTACATCATAGAGCAACTTTTAAGTGTTACTCTGAGGGTGGGGGATACTGGGCAGTCTGGTGGTGTGTGCTTTGGAGAGCTATATAATGACAAGGAAGAGTAAATGGAGATTAGGGGCCTGGAGGGCAAGCCAGTAAAAGTTCAGCTTTGATCTTTCCAGAGGCTCTAAAAATAGAGCTGGTGTGTTCTCCATTGTAATAGGAAACCGGCTGATATATCTCAAAACTACAGTGATGGCATCTCATTTTTAAATAGGCTTTGAGATAGTCTGGGTTATTTTTACATGTATGCTGTGTATTATAGCTAATTTCCTTTCAAATGTCTCTTTAAGCTTCTAATCTCCAGTGATTTAACCTGAGCTTTTAAAACTCAGGATTTTTTAAATAAAACTTTCATGTTCAGGTTTTATACAAAATGGTGTTGGGGTCATTAATCCCAAAGTCTGGCCTCTCAGTTATAATTTGGGACTTCTTTGCTCAGTAGCCTGTATCTGGCAGTATAGAAGGGATTAAGATCTGGAGAAATTCTCTTTACTTTGAGTTGACAAACCTTTGAAAACTTCACTTGGGCCATATCTTATGAGAAGAATAATTCTGACCAGTTTCTCTAAAAAGCTAACTCAGACTTGACAATAGTGTTGATAAATTTGGTTACTTTTAGGTGTTCAGAAATTTATATTAGAAATTTAGAGTAATGTTTTTCTTCAAATGTAAACTATCTCCTGTTTTATCAAGTGCCTGTGTTGAGATTTAAAGCATACCATTTGTCAGTAGTTACTCATGAGCACACTCTTTCTACAGTTTCATTAAGGTATCATGTCTGCTCAGGTCAGGATCACAAGGATGTTACTGTGCATTTCTGTCTTCAGAAATGCAAGTTTTAGGATTATATGCTTCTTAATGGAGCACATTTCTTTTCTTTGAATGGCTGAGCTAATTGGTCTCAAAATAATTTGGCGATAGAAATATAATTCTCATATAGAAATATAATTTTCATATAGAAATGATTTGGCACTGGTGCTAGTTCTGTGGCTTTATGTAGATCTGGCTAATCAATGAAATAAAGATAATTGGGCTCTCTAAATGAAATGTAAACATTCATTCTTTCTTGTTCTATTTCTAATTAAGTTAGCCCCTGAGGTACTGTTTATAAAAGAACCACAAGCGTACCACCTGAGGTCCCTTATATTTTTTGAGAAAGAATAGCTTTGCATTTTGTTTTCACACTGTTGTAAGCATTGCATTAAATATATGTATCGCTTTTTTGTTAGCAAAATTATTTCCTCTTGGTGGCCATTCGTAGAGGCCTGCTTTACATAAACATGCTGGACGATTTAATACAAACTGACTTGGATTTTAACAGCTGTGCTATTCCCATAGCGATCACTTTTCATGTGGTCAGGTATTAAATTTCTTTTGTGCTGGAAAGGTTGCTTCATTGGTACACGTATTTCCTTACAGTAGAAACACAGCATTTACTTACTTGGCTAACTTCTTTATTCGCATGGGAGAATGTCATTCTCTATTATTTGCAAACCCAACATTAATACTTTGAAATGACAAATCCAATTACATTTTCATCTTGGTGCATGTGAATTTTTCTTAATGCATACTTAGCATAATATTTTTATACTGAGTCATATAATAGTTATTGTTTCAAAAAGATTTTGGGGGGCTAAAAATGACTTTTGAAAAATTCTCTTTTGACATCTATGAAGTAATTTTTTCCTTGGGTTGTTTTCAGTATTTTTTTCCCCCTAGAACTGAGGCTATACTTATCTTGATTTAAACACAAATACAGAAAGATTGGGGAGGTGAATAAGCTCAGCTCAATAATAATGTTCTTGTTCGTGTGTGTGTGTGTGTGTGTGTGTGTGTGTGTGTACACCTTTTATAAGGCCTGAGGTGTGGAAGAATATAGCTCTCTGCTTCCATAGCAGGGAAGGCGGAATCATCTACATGTAAATCATCCTTACCCTGTTTGATTTTAGCTTGGCATATAGCTAGGAGAATTGTTCTGTCTTACAGAAAAACTATTGAAGAATCTGGAGGGAGGGGAATGGTGAGGAGTTACTTTCATTCCAATTTCTGTTGATTACATTGAGAAATTTTTTAAAATGACAGTATTGACCACTGGGACTTCAAAAAACCCTATAGGAAGGTACATGAGTTGTTTTTTAGTCCTAAAAAGGAATTTAGAACCAACTAGAGTTTTGTGGAATTACTACCAGAGGAAAAAGTATCATTTTGAAACAAGTGTATTCTTGTTATTAGCCTTTCACCTAAATATTTTTTGGGGATTTTGATAATTTTCTATTTTGATGTAATTTTAAGTTGCAAGAATAGTACGAGGAATTCCTGTATAACCTTTACCAGATTCACCAATTGTTTCCATTTTCTCCATTTGTACTTGTGGGGTCCCTTTCCTCCCTGCTCCTACACTCTCCTGTCTCTTAAAACTTTGAGAGTATGTAGGAGTCCTTGTGGTCATTTACAATTAAATACTTCAGTGTATTTCCTAAGAACAAGGATATTCTATCTAAACACAACACTCTTATCAAATCAGGCAATTTAATGTTTATATAATACTATTCTCTAATCCTCAGTCTATTATTTCAACTGTTGCTATTTGAATCAGTAGTGTCCTTTATAGGTTTTCCCTCCTAGATCAGGATCTGATTCAGCATCAAGCAATTGCATTTAATTGTCATGTCTCTTTGGCTTCCCTTTAATCTGGAAAAGTTTCTTAGCCTTTCTTTGTCTTTGTTAACTTCAGTATTCTGATTTCTTTTTATTTAATAAATCTTTATTGTTCAGATTATTACAGTTGTTTCTCTTTTTTTTCCCTCCATAGCTCCCCTCCACCAGGTTCCTACCCTACCCTCTGCCCTTACACCACCCCCACTGTCCTCATCCATAGGTGTACGATTTTTGTTCAGTCTCTTCCCTTACCCCCAACTCCCCTTTTCCCTGAGAATCGTCCATTCACTCCCTTTCTATACTCCTGATTCTATTATATTCACCAGTTAATACTGTTCATCAGATTTTTTATTCCCTTGGTTTTTAGATTCACTTGTTGATAGTTATGTATTTGTTATTCATAATTTTTATCTTTATCCTCTTCTTCCTCCTCTTTCTTAAAAAATACCTTTCAGCATTTAAAATATTCTGGTTTGGTGGTGATGAACTCCTTTAGCTTTTTTTGTGAAGCTCTTTATCTGGCCTTCAATTCTGAATGATAGCTTTACTGGGTAGAGTACTCTTGGTTGTAGGTACTTGCTATTCATCACTTGGAATATTTCTTGCCATTCTGTCTGGCCTGACTTGGGCCCTGATCAGGGTTCATACAGGAAGCAACCAATCTATGTTTTTCTCTCACATCAGTGTTTCTCTCTCTCTTTCCCTCTCTTCCACTCTCCCTAAAAATCAATGGAAAAATATCCTCAGGTGAGGATTACCAACAACAACAAAGACATTGAATATTTTTATTACATCAGAAAGTTCTCTTGTACCCCTTCCCAAATCAGTCTTGGGTGAACAGGGCAGTATGTTGAATATTGTGATCATTCTCTTTCCCTATAAGGAAAAAGCCCAGCACTTTCCAGTATTTTATGCAATAATAGTCTTGTTTCTGGAACCCAGAAGCTGTCTAGAAACTTCTCTCAGATCTGCAGTCAGAGCAGTACTGGTAGGGAGAGGGTGAGTACGAATCACGTTAGCTTTTATGATCATTTGGTAAATTATACTTTCTTTTTGCTTTTATCATAGCCAGCCTATCCATTTATCTTTTTATATTATATAATCCTACCTTTTTTCCTGTCATAATTCTTTGTAAATTATAAAGCATGAAATATAAATACTGTTTAAACTTTAAGAAAAAACTCTGTCCCCAAGCAACCTATTGCCTAAGATTTCTGCAAATGTACCATTTAGGATAAAAAGACAAATCATAGATTGTGAAGGAAAGGTTAAAGTCTTACTATATGTTTGTTAGCAGACATTCATTTCTTCAGTTGGCATTTAAGGCCCTGCTGGGTGCCAAAGATAGAAAGATTCAAATAGCCACTGCCCTCAAGGAACTTTGGGTGAGACAGACATATAAGCCAGTGATGATTTTCCTTATATTTTGACATGCCCTGCATTCAATGTATATCCTCTTATTATGGTATCCTGATACCAATTTTATAAATGAGAGAAACCTGGGAAGGCTTTGTAGAGAGTGACTTATGAGTTGATGTTAAAAGGATGAGTGGATCCCAGCCGGTGTGGCTCATTGGTTGAACATCAGCCTATGAACCAGGAGGTCACAGTTTGATTCCTGGTCAGGGAACATGCCTGAGTTGTAGGCTCAATCCCCATTGCAGGGTGTGCAGGAGGCAGATGATCAGATTCTCTCTCATTGATGTTTCTATCTCGCTCTCCCCCTCTCCCTTCCTCTTTGAAATCAA